AGGAGCAGGGGCAGGAGCAGGAGCAGGGGGGTCCGAGCGCGTCGCCGCCGGGGGCTGTGCGATTTGGGCTCAGCCGACTCTGTTTCCCGTTTCAGAACCACCCGGCACTGCTGCAGGTTGCGATACGAGCTGAACGTGAGCATCTAGTCATCAACCTGGAGCGAAACGAGTAAGTGCATTCGTTGCATGTTCGGTTTATACCGGAGGCTTTTGGAGAGGGTTAAAATTTCTGCAATCGATAATTTAGAAGTAACCTGTGCCAAATCTGCTACCCAATGCTTATAGAACAGGCTCCTAACAAGAGTGTTTTATTCCAGTTTTAATTGCTTATATTTGAATTCTGCTTATAGAGCAAGAATCCTTATATACATCTGTATTTACGTAGTATTGAAAGCAGAAATATCGCCTCTCAGTGTTTTCTTGTCATCTTTACTTCTAGTTAGTTTGGGTTTGTCCTTCTTTCCTGCAGTAATCCCTTTTATCTGCCGTAATGGGAAAATCCCCCAAGCTTTGGGGTGTTTTTGGAGGACTCGTCCCTCCCCGGCCCGCCGCAGCGGTCGGTGTCCGCGCGGGGAGCAGGAGTCACGTCCTTGGGCTTGACCCTGCTGGGCTCCTCCGTGCGCGCGTGGGCACGGAGCTCCCGGCGGGATATGACACTGTTAACGAGATCAGGGATCAAAGCAGAGCCTGAGCCCTCATTCCTGGACTATAAATATTGCATCTTCTTCCATGCAATGGGCGTCTCTTCCATGCTCTTCCGTGCTCTGACGTTTCCTGACGTCAGATGGGATTTCTGTTTTAGCCTGTTGCGTTATTTGTAGAAACACTGGGTTGTACTGAGGCGTTTGCTCTCTTCCCCACATCCTTCAGCTACGGAGAGCAAATATGACAGTTTAGTGACACGGGAGCAGTATCTTTGGGAGAAATTCACCTGTAAGCCCTGGAATTCAGAGGGGCCCTGCTGAGCTCAATGCTCGGGCAGGCAGCAGGGGTGCAGACCGTGCGGAAATGCAATCCTGAGCACGGGATCTCAGTGAAGTCTTAATTTACCATCTCAGCTGTTGTTCAGCTTCTGCCTGTGAGTGTCTCAGGGCATGATTTGGGAATACAGACCAAGAACAGAGCTGGCTTCTTATCACCAGCCGTCTGGGGGACCTCTGGCATGACCCAGCGGTGACACAGGATGCAGCTCGCTTGGTCCTTCAGCATCAGCCTCAAATCGTGACCCTTCTTGATGGCATTTCCAGGGATTCTTCATTGGTCTTTGCTGGTCCTCGAAGCAAAACACCGATGTCACATGCATGGGCTGCTCTGCTTCAGGTATTCGGCACAGCCAGAGGAGGATTTAATTCATTTAGTAAGCATGGATTTGACTTTATGGACCCTTAATCTCTGTCAAAGGGTGTGCCTTCCCTCAGGAATGCGCAGTATGCGGCAATGGAGGAAACTATTTGCATTCCATGTCAGAGATTAAAAGAACATAAAACTGCTATACAGGCACTGCTGAACATATTAAACTCGCTTGTACCTGCAATAAACTGTTGGATTTATAGAACTCTAAGATGCAATCTCGATCTCTTTTAAAAAGATAAGTACGTTATGAAAGGATCGTAAATTAAAGAGATGACAATCTGGACCTGTTTGATAACATTTTGAGAGGTTGAGCTTTGCTTCTTAAATAATATAATATTTACCCATTTTTCTCTTCCAGTTTACTTATCTCTCTGATGGGGTATCTACAAGAAGGATTTTGTTCTAGAACAACTATGCGTAGTGTTCAGGACATGACACTTCTAATTTTTACAGGAGTTTCTAGGTATTATTGTGCAGCTCTAAAATTGGCTTTGACTATGTTGCGAGTTGAAACACACAGGGCAGTTCAGAGATCTCAAAGCAAACAGAAAGCGGGTGAAATTCCGTCAAATCATTTCTCCCTTTTCTCCAGTACTAACACAGTGGGCGTCGAAGGCGTCTCTGCCTTAACGGAAGGAATTATATGATTTCTTGGGAAGTGGTGGCTGAACATCTTTCATTCCCTCCCTGATGCTCAGCCTACTCTTCTAATTACAGCTCATTCTCTGGCCTAACACAGTTTCGCTTCCTTTATGATATTTTTTATTTCTTCCATTGGTAAAATCAAGATTGCTAATGCGTCACACAGGTATTGCCACGAAATTGGTGAATCCAAAAGTTTAGGATGAAACAAAAAAGACAACGAAAACCCCCTTGAAAGCCTGAGTGTGAGTGTAGCCGGTAGATCAGCCTGCTCGAGGTAGAAATAACTATGCTGAACACACAGTTTTTTCTTGAGTAATCAGTGACAACAGATAGGAAGCTCTGATACGTGTGTGCTGTTAGTCAACTGTACTTTCACATAAAGCATTTTATTCTTTGGAGAATGAAATGGTGGGGATGGAGGTAAAGCGGACCCCCATATTACATAACTTCTGCATTGGGTCATGCAAAAAAAATGGATATAATTTTCTATGCTTAGTAGAAACAGCTGCTTTGACTAGCCTCGACATTCAAATCCATTTACTGAAAACCTTAGAGATTTTCCCAAACTGGAGTTATATTTCAAAACATGATTCAGATGCATTAGGCAACCCCAAGTGGGGACCGATGTGTTAAACCATCTGTTATCTATGGAAATATTTAATGTCAGCTTGGTGTGTTCTGATTCTTAGAATCAGCAAGACGTGTTTGTTTGTAGGACAACATGCTGTAGTTTGTTCTGAAAGGTTTATTGGTGCCTAAGTTCATATCTTAACGTTTTTTTAAAAAAACTTTTAGTTTATCTGTGAACATGTTCATTAAATATTTCAGTGATTAGTTTTCAGGCATTGCACATTCATAACTGTAAAAAAAGGAATTATTTGCAGTGAATTCAATTTGTCAGTCCCAGCAAACCTACTAGCGAGCACTTCTTCAAGCATATTTCTTAGTGTGATTTATTTTCCTTATGTGATTGCCCTCTTGAGAACCTTAAATTCTGTCGTACCTTATATGTTTTAGAAACACTTGTCATTTGGAGAGTTTTTCCAGAATCAGCAAATCATCTATCAACTGCAAAATAAACCACCCTTCAGAGCAGCTGATTTTACTATTCTGCATGACATTAATAACTCTGACGAGGTTTCTGTTGTGTAACCCCCTTTAAAGCTGACTGTAGCATGTGGGTCTAGAAGAAACGGGTGTAAGACAGCGTGACCAAAACAGAACCCTGCTAGGATGAAATCTGCATTTGAGAGCAGAATGGCCCGTGACTACCGGCTGCTTTTCTGCAACTGGAAACATTTCACATTCTGTCAGAAAGAGGTCCGTACCCAGCACAGCTCTTAAGTATTCTTTTAACTTTAAGCGTGTGAGTAATCCAGGTAAAGGCAGCGGAATTACTTATTTTCGAAGTTAATTTCACGCTTAGGTGATTTGTTGACAAAGGTCATGGTTATGAATGACACAGAAATCTCACTTGGAGCAGATGTTAGAGATCCGTCCCGGTTCCCCATTCCTCTGCGTCTGAGCGCACGGCTCATAAAGACCAAGGCTGGAGCTCAATAGAGGGCACGCGAGGGACACTAAGGAGGCAGGGTGGCTTCGTCCTGAGGACACCAGTTGGCTGCTTCCTTCTGATGGGAGCAATTGCTCATTTCAGGGGGAATTGCTCATTTTCAGGGTGCAGCCTGGGCGTTTCTGACCGACGGGCTGGCCACGGTGACTCAGGATACAGGCGTGAATGGAAAGAAAGCAGGATTATTTAAGAGCAGCCCAGGGCACTGTTCATTCCCCGTAGCTCTGTGCTCTTTCTAGATATGTTTATAACACAGCATGTAACAAAACATGATGAAAAAGGGAATATTTGAGTTTCGGTTCGGTTCGATTCTAGTCTAGTCTATTCTGCTTTATCAGGAGAGAAAATCCATCCCAGGCCATGGTACCCATCCCAGACTTCCTACCCTTCCAGAACTGGAACCAGCACAAGGACTGTTCAATCCCACAGGGATGTAGGGGCTGATACTTCACCAAGGAGAACACGTACGTGCGAGGCCGTTTTCTGCAGATGTAGGAGGCCTCATGTCAAGATGTATTGGTCAAAGGGTCCCATACAGTGTGGGAGCTTTGGAGACCTGGCCCTCTGAAACCCAAAGCATTTCTATCTACATATGAATTTTGGGGTGTGATGCAGCTTTCACTCGAGTCAGGGGACAAACTGACCTAGGAACAAGCTCTCCTAACTTGGTCCATCTTCGTTTGGAGGGCTGATGTGACCTGTTTCTATTAGCATTCAGGAACCTTTGGTGTTCTCTTTTGGTAAAAAAAGAACAAGAAAAGTTCTCTCCTCTTCTCAGCGTGACCTTTGCTTCGTGGAGGGCCGCCTGGCCTGCCAGTGACATCCTGGCTGCATTAATTTAGCAGGGAAACAGCCCATTTCCCCTGCCAAAGAAAGTAGCTGGTGCAATTTGTTATGAATCAACATTATATACAATCAGTGGCTTGAAATAAAGATAAAGGAAACAAGTCTAAACAAACAAATACTAAGTAGAGAAAAAGGACCTCTCCGAATGTACTTGCTGCTATAATTCTGAGCAGTAACACAGCCAAAAATCGCTGACCCTGGTGGTTTTATTGCAGTAAAAGCCTCATTTTCATGGCAGTAGGAGTCTCTTCCCTTCCATCCTGGCAACTGCCATTTGGTACCACACTGGATGTGGGAAGATTCAGCTACTGGACAAGGGGAATAACACGGGGGAGGTCTCGCTGGTTGGAGACGCTACTGCAAATTCAACCCATCAGCAACTTTTTCAGTAAAGCACATGAATATATTGCATTAGGTGATAAGCAACTCTCTCCAGTAGATGGTTCAAAAGCTTAACTTTGACTGAATTGTTACTATTCATTACTTAGCTTTTCTTTTTTAAGCATTTTGGGGTTTGGCTGAAATTAAGTGCATGCTTGCACTTAATCTAAACATTGTATTTTAGGAAAGTTTGAAAAGATATTTCAAAGAGTTTTTTTTTTTTAATGGGGAATCAAAATGATATCCCTGCTTGCAGTTTTAAGACTTTCCAATACCTGTAATTCAGCAGCGGCTAGATTTTACAAAATGATGCTTTTCCATGCGGCAGGATTTCCGTAAGAAAGAAGTTGCCACATCCTCCTCCCGTGGCC